ACGTTGCTTGTGCATTTTTTACGACGAAGTGCATAACTTTGCATTATTCAACATTAAATGTAATCTGCCATTTGAGTGCCCAGTCTATCTAAATCCCTCTGCAGCAAAGTAATATCTTGCTCACATTGTATTACTTTACAGAGTTTTGTATTATCTGCAAACACTGATACATGACTTTCAATGCTTTTTCAAGATCATTTATAAACATGTTAAATAGAATGGGTCACAGAACAGAACCTTGAGGGACACCACTTGCCACCTCTATCCAGCTTGAAAATTTACCATTAATGACAACTCTTTGTACTCTATTTTTAAGCCAACGTTCTACCCAAGAAGAAGCATTTTCATCTAGACCGATTTCCTTGAGTTTGAACACTAATCCATTGTGTGGAACTGTATCAGATGCCTTGGCAAAATCCAAATAGATCACATCCACTGCAACACCCTGATCTATACTTCTACTTACTTTTTTGTAGAACACAATCAAGTTCGTATGACATAACCTGTGCTTTATAATTCTATGCTACAAGGGGAAACCCTACCACCAGACATGCTACAGGCAAATATCTGCCTCCTTCTCAAATTCAATAAACTGCACACTGAACTGGGACACTTCAGACCCATCCCGTTACTAAACGTACTAAACGTCAATGTCGAGCTCTTCACGAAACTATTAGCAGAAAGACTTAACCCCCACCTGCCCAAGTTAATCCAATCTGACCAAGTGGGCTTCATACCATCTAGACAGGCATCCGACAACACAGGACGCACCTTCAACCTCATATGGTTTGCTAACCATAGAAGAATACACACCCTATTATGATCACTCAATGCAGTGAAGGTGGTTGATTGCCTACTATGGCTCTTTCTACTCACAACTCTTCAAAGATTTGGATCCCCATGGCCCTTTATCAACGCCCTTCATGCCCTCTATTACGTGCCGGCAGCCAATCTTCTAATCCCTAATGCCCACCCACCTTCGTTCCAGATATTTAACGGCACAAGGCAGGGGTGCCCCCTCTCCCCTACCCTATTTGCGCTATCATTAGAAACTTTGCTACAAACTCTTAGACTCAATCCGACCATTAAGGGACTGCGAGTAAGAGGGGAAGAACACAAAATAGCAGCCTACGTGGATGACCTACTTTTGACCCTAACGAACCCGAACCAATCATTAGCACCACTACTCGCTACTGCGCTAAACGACTACTCAGAAGTCTCAAGTTAGCGCTTGAACCTAGCCAAAACAGAGTCCCTTCCAATCCCGACCATGTCCACCCTTCAGGCATCCTACCTGTTTCAATACAACGAATCTCACATCCACTATCTGGGCACAAACCTGCCAACAGACACGACCCATACATACTGCCTAAATTACACACCCCTAATACAAAAAGCAAAACAAGACATCGAATCTTGGGAAGGCCTATTCATATCCTGGCTCGGCAGACTAGCATCGATAAAAATTAATCTTTTACCTAGAGTTTTATATCTGTTCCAGACACTCCCTATACATATCTTTCTAAAGGATTTCAAAATACTTCAGACCCAAATCGACAAATTCATTTGGGCAAACAAACAAGCCAGGATAAAAAGAGACACAATGTACTCCCTACTAGAGTTGGGATTGCACCTACCCAACCTAATAAACTATTTTTAAGCAGTGCAGTTAGCACAAATACAAACTTAATATGCCCCAGCGGGACTTAAAAGATACTCATCTTAAAAGATACCCATCCGACTTGGAGCATGATGTCTTTGGAAGAACCTTTTACATCTGGCTTCCACGTCAAGCCCAACCCCAACTTCCACTGACCACACCGGCACTTACTGCATCCATCGCGATCTGGAACAAACTAACAGCCAAACACTACCTCATCTCCACCCCATCCCCACTTACCCCAATACTGTGAAATGAACAATTTGCACCAGGCATGAGCCCGAGAGAATTCACCCAATTCGACGATAATGATCTTCTTCGAATATATCAATTCATTCGGGGTCAACAAAGAATCCCCTTCACAGAAGTACCCCACAAAACACCATTCAATTATTTTGATTTCTTTCAATACATACAAATCAGGAGTTTCCTAGACACCCCCACCTACAATGCAGCAAGCACTACTGCTCTAACAACTTTTGAAAAGACATGCATACAATGTCCAGTACAAAGAGGCCAAATTTCCTCAATCTACACCCCCCTGACCCTGAGCCTGGTGTCCATTAACCTATGTTTGGGCTTGGGAGAGGGATATGGGCCCCCCCAGAAGACCCCTCAGATTGGGCCGCTATCTGCTTTAACCAAAACGGCGGCTTATAAAATACTAGTGCGGTGGTATCTCACTCCCATGAACCTGAAGCAGATGGGCTGCACTACTTCTGACCTATGTTGGAAGGGCTGTGGCAACAAAGGTACATACTACCATTTATGGTTGGAATGCCGCCAAATAGCACAATTGTGGACAGAAATCTCGCAGTCGACTTCTAAAATTTTGCACACAGGCTTCCCAAGGCACCCCTGGACTTGGCTGCTTTCTAGAACAGTATAAAATATCTAACAGAGCACAAAATAAATTAATAGCTAAAATAGCGCTCACAACCGGAAGCCACCTAATTCCCTGAAATAATTATTTAGGACCTTCCATCTTCCTCTTACTTTGTCATTGGTACCAACATGGACCATGACCGCTGGGTTATATATAAAATAAAATAAATGTAAAGGGTGGTTAAATTAAATATAAATGATGCTGTACAAGACAGAATCTTAGTGTGGTCTTCCAGAAGGCTACCTTTGCTTATTCCAGACGATCAGCTGATGGAGCACTGACTTTCTTACAGCAGTATTGGGGCTTGATAATTCTAAAAACAGGCTTTGCTTATTGCAGACGATCAGCTGATGGACCACTGACTTTCTTACAGCAATATTGGGGCTTGATAATTCTGAAATCAGGCTTTGCTTAATCGCCCTATTTTTTTCTATGAAAGCTGTTACGACCAGAAATATCAAAACCAGTCAAAGTAGATACCGACGACAAATTACATAAATGGAATACCATTCTATAAGACTGCTTGTATAAATTGATGCAGTTTCTAATAGAATTGGAACAAGACGACTTCAATAAGGTTAATCAGAATTTACAGGAGGAGATTAATAAAGTGAAAATATTCCAGAATAATTCCGAATATCCTCTTATGGAGACTAAATTACAAAACAATCTTGAGAATTTTAAAACCTATTTAAATTATAAAAAACATCAAAAAATTTTAAGGGATCAAAAAGATTTTAAGGAAGGCAACAGGTTCCACTCCAAAAAACAATTTAGAAAACGTCCCGTCAGTAGACTAAGTTCAACAACCAGGTACACAGAGGGCTCTGAGTCATATTCTAGTTATACCAGCAATAGAAGGGGTTCTCGGTCTTCATCAGGCTCACAACAGGCTAGCAAAATCATTCTAAGAGGACAGGACAAATCTGTGGCGAAACCAAACTCGACACTATGTTCTGGAGAAGCCTGGTTGCCCGCCTGCTACCTCTGGACTATGGCCCCGTGTTAAAATTCAATTTACCGAACAAACGCACGAATGACCGGACCACCTGGGTATGGAGTGTGCAGGCAATTGATCTCCCAGCTTAATTGATGAACGCTGGTTGGGCGTTGTTCGTATAGCCAAACACGTGGCAGCGGCCATCTTAAACTGCCGAAAAGCCAGAGGTGTTCAGCTACAAAACGGTGGAACTAAAAATGGACACATATTAACGAACACCGCTGAGCCGCCGACCTCCACCCTCCTGCATTTATCTGAATGCCGGTCCATTTAGTACTTTCTCTGTGTGAACAGTGCTACCCCAGATAGCTATGCCATGGAGCCTATTCGTATAACGAAAGACTATTTAAAAGACTTTGGCTCCATGGCGATTAAACTGTATGTATATGATCTGAGTGCCATTCGGTATTAATGCGTTCAGATCTAAGCTATCTGGGCATATGTTGAACGTATATGTTTTATGCAGTATTTGTAACATTGTGTATTTTTGTATATATGTATATATACTGTACTAGTGGGAGTGTTTCACTATGTATGTCTGTGATTGGTCACTGTGCAATTTGTGTCCCAGTCTTCCACCAGGTCCCCTAGGGGAGTGTACACTTGGTGGAAGACCAACATAAATACCGGGCAGGTAGCCCCATTAAACCAGATCACTGCTTGACCCTCAACATGTAGCCTGGTCTCGTTCTTGGGGGGATTTATTGTATGCTGTTCCAGTTCGACTGCTAAGAGTGTAAACCGTTCGTATGGTTTTTCCTGTTCGGCTGTTTGAAGCATTCGTATAGTTCCGGATTGGGAGTTTGGAGAATTCATATGGTTTCCTGTTTGGGAGATTGGTGTATGGAGTAGCTGCCTGTGTATCTGGAAGGGAATATATCCTAAATGGCTTTTAACCCCTTTTATGCCCCGGGTGCCATTACAAAATCCGTTTCCTTCTTGGAAGCCCCACTCCCCTCTGTCCCCTCAACATCCACAGCCCCGTCTGTGTTTTTAAATCAAGAATGACCGGTCCCACAAAGAGGCAGACCTAGGGACAGGGGAAAGTGGGGTTACAAACCAGAACGGATCAACAAAAGGTAATAGGTACTGCCAATGAGAATGATGAGGATAATAAAATAATAAACTTATCAGATTTTGTACTTTCTAATGACCACATTGTATTATTGAGGAAAGGTCTATCGTTTGTCCCCACTCCATAAGCCAATAAATTCAATTGGCTCAAAAATAACAATCTATTTGGTAGGAAATTTGCACTATGTTCTCTGCATAAACGGAAAGAGTACAGATTATGCATAAAAATTGGCATTTCCCCCATAGACCATTCCTATTTACAATCCTCAGTACAATTATTAGAGGAACAGGATAATATTCCACCTCTTACAAATGTGAAGCCCCCTAGCTGGTATACTCCAAATTTCAAGGAAGTAATTAATGTTGACTTATTTGTTCAGATGACTACTAATAAGATTGAAAAATTGCAAATACAGAAACACAATCTATCCCTCAATGAACAAAGAGCCCTTAGTGAACTTTGCAATAATAGAAATCTCATTATAAAGCTGTCTGACAAAGGTGGAAATACAGCCCTCCTCAATCGAGACATGTACATCTCTATGTGCTTGGACCACCTCACTGATTCCTCTTGCTATGAGAAACTATCTAAAGATCCCACCATGAGATATATGGAAGAATTTAAACAGGTCCTGAACCAAGCACTAGAGGGTAATGTAATTACCAACAAGGAATTTTAATATATCTTGCCCAATTGCATTTCAACTATTGCAACCTTTTATTGCCTCCCCAAGGTGCACAAAAATAGACAACAACCTCCAGGGAGACCCATAATATCTGGGAATAGTTATCTGACTGAAAATGCAAGCAGGTTCATTGAGAAACTGTTACACCCATATGTAACCAAGCTAGCATCTTACGTTCAAGATACAAAGCAGGCACTGTTATTTTTGGAAGATCTGATAGTCCCACCATACACCATACTGGCCAGCTTGGATGTGATATCCCTCTATAACAACATTTCCCATGAGATGGGCCTAAATGCAGCTGAATACTTTTTAAATAAATCTGATAAGCTTGTACCCCCTCAAAAAGAATTAATTCTGTGGTTATTTCACTTTATATTAACACATAACTATTTTGTGTTTAATGGGATCTACTATCTTCAAACGAGGTGTACAACCATGGACACAGCTTGTGCCCCTAGCAATGCCAACCTCTATCTAGGGTGGTGGGAGGAGACCATTTTAAATCAGATTATTGCCACTAATCATGGTGAGTTTATCCTCCAATGGCACAGGTACATTGACAATGTCCTTCTTTTCTTGACAGGCTCTATGGATACGTTTAAAGATCGTGTACAGATTCTGAACCAAAATTACATAGGGCTAAAATTGACCCATGTAATCGATGACAAAGAGCTAGAATTTTTGGATTTAAAAAATTTCTTGGGTCTAGATGGCAAAGTTGAGACAGAATTATTTAGGAAGACTACCTCCACTAGCAATTTACTTAATTGGCGCAGACACCAGCCGCATAATTTGAAAGCGGGAATTCCATATGGTCAATACTTTAGAGCAAGTAGAAGCTGCTCCAATAATGAGAGCTTTTATAAGGAAGCTAAAAATTTTAGAAAATGTTTCAAAACTCAAGGCTATCCAAAGAAAGTACTACAAAGAGCATACCAGTAGGTTATCTCTATGGAAAGAACCACATGCTTGAGAACTAGTCAACCTAAACAAGAGCAACAAAAAATACAATGCATTGGCACATTCAATAAACTGTGGGATCCTATAAAACCATTTCACAGCATCACAGTGCGTAAACCCAAAAATTTAAGAGATATGTTGGGACATAGCCACATGGAACCTGAGTTGGCTCCTTGAACTTGGCTCAATACCACCTCTGGCAATTATAGGTGCGGACACTGTAAGGCATGTGATTTTGTGAAACTGTCAAAAATCATGGAGTGTACACAAACCAAAGTACAATTTCCCATTAAACAATTCATCAACTGCAGTTCCACTAAAGTAGTCTGTTATCACCCGTAGCTGCAGGATACAGTATGTGGGCAAAACTTACCAGCAGATCAGGACACAAATTTTACAGCATATCAATACATTTACCGACCTCAACATCACCACTCCAGTAGCAAACATATTAGGAAAGTACACAACTCAACACGTCTCAAACCTGAAATTTCAGGCACTAATTACCCTTAATTCCAGATCTAAAATATCTAAAACAAGATCCAAATGGATACATATATTCCAAACATTTGCCCCTTGAGGCTTAAATGAGGAGTTCAATTGTACCCCCTTTATTCATGGATAGTCACTATACCCTGTGACAACTTACATATTGTAGTTATCCTTACATTCTAATTATCAACCCTTGCAGGTATACTGTTATCATTTTAGTCGATCAGTACTTATGACGAGTGACCTGAGACACTCTACCTTGTAGGACTCCGGTGCTATTGTTTTACAAACAGCGATTATCATATACAAAGTTGGATCTATAAAAAGATAAATATAGTATAGGAGGGTTCGGCCTCTGAGGGGCACAGGTTGGTGGTATGAGAAGTGGAAGAGCAGACTGCACAAGACGGAGGTACTAAGCCTGCAAAATGCCTGCAAAAGAGTTCCGTGTCCAAGAGACTCCAGTCAGTGCGGATGTTAAACTGGGCCAAGGTTGTGGCTGCTTTTGCTGACACAAGACTTGTGGAAACCATAAAACATGAAACCCCCATACTTGTGGCCTCAGTCTACTACCTTATGTAGATATAAGTCTAATTCCTCCCGGTGCTGTGGATAAACTGAGCATACAACATCCCTGTAGATACAGAAGGCTAGGACAAACTCTGGTATGGTAAGTTTTTTATTGAGTCTTGGGTCTCTAGCCTTCATAACAACAGCCAAATCACCGTAATTGTACACTCTGTTTTCCACAATGTCTTGGGAGGCAATTAGCAAAGACACCAAATTTACATATTTTCTGTCTAAAATGTCCTTACGGAGGGCTGGAGGAACCATGTGTGCTGGGGTTATAACTTGTGTAGTAGAAAGGGAGGAGATCGGCGAGGCTGGGGGCCTACCCTGTAATTTGTCAGGTGTGGGTGCTTGTACTGATCCTATGGGAGGAGGGCCCGTGACAGCTGGGTTAGCGTTTTCCAACTTGATCAGTCTATCATTGATAGACTGTAGAGACAACAGGATGGTGTTTAGTATCCCTTGTATGTCTGAGCTATGCCCCTGTGAGCTGGTACCCAGCCCAGGATCTTCTGGGTGTGCTGTGAGAAGCTTAAAAAGTTCAGCTTTCCTTGCCGTTGCTGGGAAAGGTATACCCCTACGGCGCAACTCAGCCGAGATCTTGGGGATGGTCCAGGATCTTAAAGAGCCTGGCGTGGATGGTTCTTGGAATTCCCTGGGGGTACCAACTCTAACAGGGGTGTTAGGCTTAGTGGGTGTGCTAGGGGGAGATGACTCATCGCGTGTGTTGGCTTCTTGAGACATGCTGCAAAAAGAATAACACAACAACAATAACCTGGTTAATAAGATATCATTGAGCATAAATAGAACTGGCTTGCTAACTAGTGCTGAAGCGATAAAGCTCTCTACCCCGTGACAGGTGAGGCCCTGCTAGTTGCCAAGCGGCAGGTGAGAGGCTCTATCTATGATTTGGGCATGGGGCTCGAGCCACTAGCAAGGTGGCGGGGTGTTGGCCTCTCGGTGATGGTAAAAGATTCAATACGTGTGGCTGTGACAGGTAAGGCCCTGACTATAATCCCAATAGGTAGGTGAATTTGAGGCTCTCTATGGTTTGGACCGAGGGGTGAAATCTCTGTGTTGAGATTGGGGAGGTGGCCTCGCGGGACCAGCTATTGTTCAATTAAGGCCCTATACAGCCAGTTCTCTGACCCTGTACAGGGGCTTGATGAAGAGGTAATGCAATGTACCTAGCGAAACTCAAGTGTGGATGCAATGAGAAATTCTGTAAGAGACCTATGACACAAGAAGGAGGGAAAGGTGGGAGAAGAAGAAGGGGAGTGGGTAAGAGTATAATAATAAAGAGAGGAGGAGAAAAGAAGAAAATTAATTAATTCTTTTTTTTTTTTTTTTTGTGACAATGCAGAAAGAATTAAACCCAAAGGCCCTGAGTGTGCTGAAGAGACCAAGGAAAGTTACTAAGTTCTCCTATAAGGAGATCCTTGAAACTATGGTGCTTAAAGCGTGGTCTTGATGGCGAAAAAATTGTGAAAGAATGAAAAGCTGTTGAAGGAGTTTAGGACGTCTATTGTGAGATAGAGAGTTGACGATAACGTATAACGAGTAGTCGAGTGAAGCCGTGGCCTGACGAGGCAAGGAGAGAAATCAAGCCCCTGTATGTTAATAACCCCTTGCGGTGTTGCATGGCCTTGTATAGGCAGTTAATAACGACATGAATTAAGATTATTTAGTACCAGATTAGTGGAGCTATAACCGGGTTGTAGTGAAATACACTTGCGAAACCTGAAATTGAGGTAGCATATAACAGGAGAAAAGGAACTTGAGTGATACTTAATATATGTTCAAGTACTGCTCTTATAAGTAAACAACCAATGAGAGACCTGTTCGTGTATTACCAGCTATAAAATTTATGTAATCAATATTACAACAGAATTGATTCAGATTATAAAGCAAGTAAAATGGTAAACCAAGTACACATTGTTCTGCTGGATTAGCAGTTTCCCATCTGGAGAATTCCTGATACCAGAAGTAGAGTTGAGCGGACACCTGGATGTTCGGGTCCGGCAGGTTCAGCCGAACTTTGAAAAAAATAACTTTTGGCCACAAAAATGCCTCTAAAAAAGTCATGGAAAGGGCTAGAAGGCTGCAAAAAGAAGTAAAGTGCAGGTAAGAGTAGGACAATTGCACTGCACACAAATGTGGATAGGGAAATCACTTAAAAATGACAAATACAGCTGAGCCATAAAATAGCACTAGATGGAATCTTTGATTTTAGCTTTGGAAGAACATAAATCAAAATCTAAAGCATGGCTGTGAGGAAGATCACCTGAATTATCAATTTGAGAGAGGGTTGACGATAACGTATAACGAGTAGTCGAGTGAAGCCGATAACGTATAACGAGTAGTCGAGTGTTCATTGTTCAAACTGAGCTCAACTCCTGATGCATGGAGAAAAGGCCTTCACAAGCCTCTGCTATTGTGTACATAGTTTATACTAGGTGACCGTGGCGGTGTAGGTGGAAGCGGCGGTGGAGGAGGAGGAGGTAGCCAACACTGTTTATATATATATCTATTTTTTTATTTTAATTGGGGTAGCGCCCAAAATATTGGGACATATAAAAAAAGAAAACTGTACCACAGAGCGACTGACCCGTGCGTGCTGCATCTGAAACTCCACTATTGCCTGTTGCTGCTCGCACAATCTCATGAGGGGGTGAGCGGGAAGGCTGAAGTTATGCTGCAGCGCAGACAGGTGAGCAGCAGCAGGGTGAGAACGCTGAATTTCCGCACTGCCACTACAGTGAATGTCACATCCTGTTGCAAGTTGTGGATCAGTCTGGTGATGGCTTCTGGTATCCAGTACTCTTTTTACAATTAGAATGTTTACAAGTGCGCTGTAAGCGCACTATTAGACGCTTCGATTTGACTCTCAGATATGAAGAGCAGGCCCCAAAACGTATTATTTAGCAGATTAGCAGCAAAACAATTAGAATGTTTACAAGTGCACTGTA